CAAAAATGACATTCCTACCCTAAAAATAAAGGGGACATGAAGTCTAGCCTGTTTACAATTTGATACCAAATGTATTTTAACCCGTTTAATCCCAAATTTTTCCTTGCAAAATAAGTGCATGCATTTAACTCCTTAGACCTCCCTAACATATAATATGTATGATTTTTTTTCATTTCATGTTGGTTATGTTAGTGAAAATGTAGGTTTTATACTCGGCAACAATTGTTGCCGGTGGGAAACCGCATAGTCTAAATTTACACAAATTCTTCAACTTTGAACTATTTACACATGTAAAGAAATAAAAAATAACATGAACATAAGTAACATATTATAACTAGGCATGGTTACAAATGTGTTTAAGAACTTTTATTCAGATACATTTACGAATATTTTCAATGCATACTGAAGGGAACTAACAAGGACATTGTATTTCAATAGTTCCTCATAAAACCGGTTGAATAACCGTAGAGCTAAAAGTGTTTGAACTTTACAAAATATAAAACTTATACTAGTTTATATAAAATAAATAAATCCCATTGTGGCAAGTACCTTAGATTGACTTAGATGCACAGTGTTATTCAACAGAAACCAAAAAAAAGTGCAGTAAGTATTTCAGTGTACCGCAAAAACAGTGCATACTGAAGGCCGCACTATTAGTGACAAAAAATTTGAATATTTATTTTTTAGCAGTTACCAGCTTTCATATAGATTTGATTTATGTTAACAAGCTTCAAAGGCTTATGCGGTTAGATTTTACTCTCCATGAAAAAATCTTGAAGCACTATATGTGGAAGTGGTACATCACACTTCTTCACATCCATACACGTGCGGTTGTAGCATCGCTCTGCATCTTTGGTTACTTTTACTGTGTTTACAGTCCAGTGATGTTTCCCATCACCGATCTTGTGGAATCCTGAGGTTTTCACAGTTGCAGATCTTCTGCCTCCCAAGAGGCGTTTTCCATGTCTCTTGAGGAGATCCAGGGATTAAAACCTTGCTGAAAAGGGTCAGGAGGTCATAATGCACTGCCAACAACATCTCTGAGTAGCAGCAACTTATTCACCATGCCACTGTGAAAGGGACCAGGCCCAGGAATTGGGCCACCACCAAACTTATTTGACCCTTATTGGCAGATCTATATCTTGACACATGAAGATCATGCAGTCCACGCACCCATGTTTTGGTTATATGTAAGGAACCAAAGTTTGGCACTTTGACAACTGCTTTTTTCTCTTTGCTCCACCTGGATGCTTGACCCTCTGAAGTATCTTTTCTAACAGTACGTGTTGCCCATGGTTATTAACACTGTTATCCTTCCATTGCACCAGTAACTTAATCCCCCTCTGTTAAGGACCTCCGTGTTCACGAGGCATTTTTTCCAAAATTCCTTTCACACCTGTGAAAGGAATGTCATGCAGATGGCACGTGTCTCAGTGTGGTAAGGGACCCATAACCGTCAAATTTGGCTCATTTCAATCAATGACGGCTAACGTGAGGTGAAAAAGGTTATCATGCACAGAGTGTGCATCCTGGAAGGACTTCTGCTTGTTCAGCCAGACTCCAAGGGACTGCACTTGGGCCTGTCCCTAAGCCAGGTTTCAGGGCAGATGTGTGTGCACTCCACGAATAGGGCTCCATGTGAAAACATGTACCACTGTGGGTGAAGCCCCAAGGCTCCACAAACTTGTAATCCAAACCGATTGTTTTTGCCCTGATGAACTGCTTGCAGCCATGCCTGCCATTTAATAGGGTATCATCGCTTTTCATCAATTGACAGCTGTTTTTAAAATGTGTAAAAAAATGGCAACTGCATCGTTGTAGGGTGTTATTCAGTGGCACTGAAGATGTGGCACACATTTTGTAGAACAGGGTTTGTCTTGGCCTTTTAGTTATCCACCAGATGAATTGAGGCATTATCTCGTCCAAAGCGGTTCCTTCCTTATTGCAGCTTGAGATGGCTTCATTGTAGACATCAGGGTCATATGACCAATACATGTGCCTCCGTGGTACTGAACTGTAGCCAGATGCGAGCAGAACCCCATAAAAACTCAGCAACTCATCCATGCTCAGATCAAGTGCCTTCCCTTTGGTTTGCATTGAGTAGAGGTTTGACATCTCAACAGTGAGCTCCCTCAGAGTAGGAGGATACATCAAAAGGAACAAATCAACAGGGTCAGGTTTAGTTTGTTTTATGCAATCTGCTGCAGTTGGACCATAGGTCACAAAATCTGGTATACCGGATGCGGCTGGGCGTCGTGATCTTTTAAAAATCCTGTCCCTATTTTGCTTATTTTGATTTTTGCTTTTTCAACTGTAGGAATGACTGTTATGTAGCACACATCACTTTGGGGTTCTTTTAAGTCTAGAAGATCCAAAACCTCTGATAGTTTTAAGCTGTGTATAGAAAAACATAAGAAAAATAGAATAAACAGCTAAAACTTTTGACACCTTGCATAACGCTATGACTATGTGTTATGCTAGCGGCAACAAATGTTGCCGTGGTTACATTTACTGTTTTTATGATCAAAAGATTTATGCAGGCATATAATTCTCATTATATATCAGTAGTAGACCCTTTAAATAACATACAAAATATTTTACTTATATCTGTTAATTAAAGTATTTTTACTTACTTCCTCTTGTACATAGTTTGAGGCAGTTTCCCGCCAGCGGTGCAAGCAGGAAGTAAAGAGGCCTGCTCATGTGACCATTCACACTAGTTACATGACATTGATAAAAATTAGAGGAGACAACATATTCTTTTATTTAGCTGCCAAAACCAAAACAGCACTTTTAGAGCTTCCAGAAGTAAAAAAAAAACAAAAGAGTGCAACTTGTTGCCGGTGGGGTTAAACGGGTTAATTGTCTTTATACAAATGTTTCCACCTCAGGTGAATCTCCTTTACTACTTTAAACTATTATCACATTTTCTGATAAACAGCTGACGTACTCAATCACTAAATGTTAAATATCTAAGCTAAATTTAAGTGCACTTAAAACAATCGAGTTATTTCAGTTTACTTTATATTATTATATAAATATAATCATTATTATGTTATATAACTCAGGATATTTCAGCTTGTTAATCATCATATGACAAGTATACATCCAAATAATTCTTAATGCTGCATTAGAGACATAACTTCAAATAACTGAATGTAATTAGTAAAATTAACCTAATTTACTGAAGTTAATTTAACAATAAATACTTGAGTTACCTCTACTTAAATTAAATATCTTTCATATCTTTAATAAACTTAGACGAAGAGTTACTTCTACTCAAATTGTTTGAGGAACTTGATTGCCACAAACTATTTAAGTGTTTATTGTTCAGGTAACTAAGTTTATTATACTGATTTCATTCAGTGAAATCAACTTAAAGGACAATGTCCGGCTAATTAAATAAATTCATTGTTGGTTTTGGTAAACATTTTATCAGACTTATATATAAATATAAGCCAAATATTAACAGACAGTGAAAATTATCATTCTGCTTTATTACAGATGTTTATAAAATAGTTAATGCTCCAATAATAGATGTCTGACATCCTGTAATACCAAAACTACTGGTAGCTACATGTTGGCTCCTCTTAATATTATTATGCATACATTCATAGATCATTTGTATTATTATTGATGTATGATATTTATTCTTATTTTATTTAACCAGGTAACAAAGTTTCACACTGAGTGCATCACAATTTCACACATATAAACTAATATTACATTATAAATTATACAGTAGAGCCCGTTACTACTATTAATACCTCCACTGCTACAACCTGCACAACAAACACTCAGATTAAAACACAACGCACACATCTGGGAGGGATTTTATACTCTGAAACACATTTTATTTGCACTTTTAACAAGATAATTCTGCCTTTTTTTAAAACAACAATCTCAGAATGATGCTGATGATGATAGAAGCTTTTAGTCTCTACAGTTATTTCAGGATGCTGCAGACAGACTTTTAACTAATACATGAAAGAAAAATACCTCCCAGCTGCTTTTAAAGTCCTTTATGAACCTTAAACAACAACCTGCACCTTTCTTTTATCAGCGGCTGCCTTTCATTTTATGTTCCAACTGCAACCCTCAGATCCTCCGCTGCCTCTCTTTCAGACGTTCCTGCTGTTGCTCACAAGATATCTAACTTTGTTATTTTACGGCAGTGCTTCTCAAACTGTGGGTTGCCCCCCCCTGGTGGGGCACAGGAACAAGTGTGAGAGCCCTAAACTGTGGAACAGCCTC